GTTAAAGCAAACGTTAAGTCAGTCTCCAACGTTATATGACTGCTGTGTGGGGCACCTTAAGGTTCTAGTATATAAATTAACGGACTTCTAAAAATCAGGGGCTTGAATTTTTTTATACGTAGTTTATAAACGTAATCATCATATCACAGGCAGTTTGTTCTGTTCTGATTTAGATTTAGTACGTTTTCTCATCTAGGTCTATTCCCGTAACATCAACATATAGGTCTGACCCAAACTCCAAAACACAAACCACATTCTAAAGAGCATACCTATACAATATACACCTGGCTTCAATTAGTACTGTCATATTTGAGTTTAAACTAATTACTGGGCGCCAAAAATGTGCACTTTTCCGTGGCGTCGTTTTGAAATAAGGGTAAATTTAAACGTGGACTAATTGAGATACAAATGTCCTACACGCTTCCTCCATTATGAGCGCAACCCGAGCTATTTTACTTTTGAGGGCGACTGGGCGGCAATTTGAGTGCTTTGACATTCATTTATCTCCATTATAGATCTGTGGAGGTAACACAGGGTAACGGGTCCCTGGTGTGTAGTACCCACACTAGCCTGGATGAACCAGCTTAGCCCGCTCGTTGCTTGCTTTAATGTTTACTTGGGTGTGAGTACGTGGACCTTTATTGTAGGTACCTACGCTGTTACTAGGGTCTTTAGTTTCACTCTCCTTGTAATTACAACTATCCTCTTTGTCAAATTTTAATTAAAATAACAGTTTCTATTTTTAATTAAACTGTAGACCGTTTATACAACTTGTAGCCTGCCTACGTAAAAAGTAACAACGTTTTTGTTATATTCAGTATCCCCATTTTCACGAAAAGATAAAAACTTTTATCACGAGCGTAGGTAAATGGGGAGGCTATCAATTCAGAATTCTATTTCTAGAATAAAACAAATCCTAAAAGCGTATAAAATACGCTTTCGAAAAGAAACAAAGAACAAAACCATACGGTATTTGCCATTCACGCATTTATTTATCATAAAGTGTAGGCATTTCCCGGCAATTTACATGAAAATTCCACACATTCAGTCGTTTAACGTCGAACTGATAGGTAATTGTGCATGATAAAAAGGCGTCCGGTGGCATTTTTCCCGCACCCCTTGTTAGCAGTCAAATGACTGTCATCTGCCGAAAGTGACCGGGTAAAACGACTTTATTATAATTAACTTGTTGCGAATGAACCGAAATTCATTAGCTACCAAACATGTACTAGTTATTCATTTTAGACGTATAATCGTAATTTTTTATGGAATAAGCCGGTAAACGAGCTGACGGATCGCCTGATTACAATTGCGTTACCGACCTTTTGGGATTAGGAATTTGAGGATTGTTGAAGATTCAGGGATTGGGGAAGGGAGGGAGGTAATTGGGGGGGTAATTGGGCATCCGGTAACCTCACTCACACGACGAAACACAACACAATGTTGTTTCACGTCGGTCTTCTGTGAGGCCGTGGTATCACTCCGGTCGGGCCGGCCCATTCATGGCTCTCCCAAACTTGTGAATGTTTAATTAAGATTTATTTTCAACTGACTGTTAATATTTTGGAGACGAGAGTAGTTTATTTTAGTTATAACTTAACTTTTATAGGTGTTCGTATATACGTACGTAATTGTTCGTATTAGATTACCATAATGTTTTGCTTACGTGGTCTAATACTAAGTTTTTTATTTGCCATGTCTAACAAAGTAGTTGTATCTTTGGATCGTCATTATCAGTAGTAGCATTAGGCATAGGTTTCTATACGACCTATGATGGCTAGTTCACTCTCATTTATCAAGGATTAAATTTATAACACAACTGGGAAAAGGAGAGTAACCCCCTATAAAATGCAGCAGTTACGCTTGCAGCCACTAATAAAAAAGTAGTTTGCAATTTGCAATATATTTTACTATACCCACTGAACATTACTTAGTAGTAAAATGGTTTACTTTGAAAAGGTGTACTTATATTACCTAACCCTTCGGGCCCTCTAAGGATGGATAGACATGACTTTTATTACTTCACCGGACTGTGAATTTTCTCCCCTAAAGGCAAGCTTTGCTCCAATATCGTAAAAGAAAGAGCATTTTTTCTTAAGGATTTTTCCAGAATATTATTCGTGTTTATAAAAAGCAGACTAGGAATGAAAATTCTGCATGTCAATTAGAATTTATATTACGACCAACTTTACACTAAAAGAATGACCGTTTAAACTTACTTTTAATTCTTTCCAGCCGTACTTATCGACTTAATCAAAGAAACAAGTCGTTTTCAACTTCTTTTTCAAAACTTTTTACTCTGGAACCTTCGATAAATTTTATGATTCCCGTATTTGCTTTTAGTAAGAGTTTTATATCCGATGTTTTACGGTATCAGCGTACATAAATTAGCTATTATTTACGTATTTAAATCGCCTAATTAATACTGGTATAAAATTGGAGTATTTACATAGTTATGTATCTGTTAATGCACTATTTTATTCCCAATGTTTTGGTGATAAATGTACCTAGTGGTTTTTGTGTAAATAATGTTGATAGATAAATGTGGAATACAAAATAGGAGAGAATTGCATTACAATTAATCATACCAGTAATATAATTAGACCGATACTTTGTTCCTCATTTTGGTGTACCTAATTACTGTGAATAATGATGCGCTATTTTCTCTATTTATATTTTGGTCTAGTTTAATGATGAACTTAATTAAATTAATAATGTCTACTAATATTATACCACTACTCGTATTATCGTTGGTAGCGAGAATATCATATGGCTAGACTGTACTTAGTCTGGCCATTTAAGGTTATTTGTATTAACAAATTCTAGCCCTTTGATTTGTTAAAGGATAGATTATTATTGGATTAATTAACTTTTTGACTGATGTTTTAATATTATATATGCGTAACTAGTTTATCATTTTGCAATTCAGGTAAGAGTACTCAGAGAAGAAGTGCAAGATGAAGCAGAAGTGGGGTAATTTGACATGAGTCTTTTGAGATAATTATTGATAAATTCTGCCTGACTTAGCCCAGTGTTCGCAAGTGCGACTGCCAAGCAAAGGGTCTCGGGTTCGATTCCCGGGTCGGGCAAAGTATTACGGGGTTTTTTAAAAAAAATCTCAATAGTAGCACGGAGTCTGGAATTGTGGTATCCCGGTATACGACATTAGGCTCACCCCCTATTACATGGGCCTCATAACATAAATAGTGAAAACTGGGTGTCACATTGTACAGTGGGATTAAGTGCCATAATGTGTACCTCTGCCTACCTCTTCGGATATAAAAGGCGTGATGTTATGTAATGTAGTGTAATGTTGATAAATTAAATTTACTATGTACATTGCATATCTCTGAAACACCCTTCAGAGTTTAATAAAATTGTTCATAATAATAAAACTACAGATAAACACTGTTTTACTAAGGTCATTAACCGCTACGATAATACGTTGGTACTGTCTCCCTCTAATTTGAGAGCACTTTCATGTCCCAGTCAATTTGCAAGCTTCCCAAGTACCCTCGAATCATCTTGATTCCGTTGAGAATAATTAGGTAGATCCTTTTTTCAGCTTTACTGGATATTTCATATTGGGTTCATTCTATATTCCTGCTTCTAGTAATTCAGTTATTATTATTATTTTTATTAATAATTTCTTAATATTGACGTGTTGGTAATGTGGTCGTAGTCGTAAGTGTGATTGCTGGGTAAAAGCTTTCAAGTTCAAATTCCAATTCGGGTAAAGTACCTACTCTACAATTTTATCGGGATTTCGATATTTCTTTGTTACAGCATGGGGCCTAGAATTATGCTTGATGCATGATCTTTCCCAATCACATGGTGTTACGTAATTTTAGTTCTATACCTCTGTCTTGTCGCTGAGAACCTAACGGGTTACCGGGGCTCCGGCTCGAAGTGCAGAAGAAGGAACGGAGTGGTTTTTAGTCAGTAAGAGTCTGATATTCCCTTCCGACTCACCCAAATGGGAGACGTAATTCAATGATTTTCCCCTTAAAAAAATCATACCTCTGTCTGCTCCTTTATAATGTTAGATCATATTCACATACCAATGTAGATTACCTTTGAGTAGATTCCATTAAGCCTACTTATTACTTTTACTCGATTTATCCCTGGAAATTCTCTTTTCTATACATAAACCGAGATTTACCTAATTGATTTAGAACATAATGTTCTGATTTTCATCCGAATTCTGAGATGGATATTATACATATTCTAAAAACTAATGAATCGTTAGCGCAAATGCTCTTGTTCGGCCGCCTACAGGACTTGTATTGAGAGACCATCTTTGTGATATTAATAATATTTCTTTATTTATTTTCCAGGTAATGTAATAGGATCAATAACATAACTGATCAAATATAAGTAAATCCGGTAACTAAACCAAAAGACAAAGGACTGTGTATCGACAAGTTGATGTGATTTTAATTCCATTGCAAATAGACACACTGTCACTATAATAAATCTCTTGCAAAATGAATAAAAATTACGATCCTTATTAATAATACCATAAGAACTTGCTCATAATTGCCTGTAATACGAGTGGGTCAGCAGACATGTAGCTACCCACACAACTATGTACAATCGGGGGCTCATCCACCTGACCACCACTAAGTTAATATTTGCATGCACCTGATGAAATCCCCCACATGATCTTGAATTGACGAATAAAGCAGAGTAATGGGGGGACCAGCGCCAGCGCAAGTAGCCAAATACCATCAAACGCACCACCGCCTAAGGGATTACACCAGTTGCGTCACTTAGCTGCAACGTTATCGGTTTTCTAGTTGAGACAATTCTGAGGTATGGCTTGTTGTTAACGGAATCAGGAAATACAATTTTAAAATGATCAGGCGGGTGTGTCCCCCACTGTACATGTTGAAATTTTATTTCTCACTCCAATTATGAATTGGCTCACAACAATTAATTGGAATGAGCGATCTGAGTGCTTACTTCAATTAAAATGCAATTATTATTTTTAATTGTTTATTTGTCGTTTGTTTTAATGCATTATATATTTAAATAAGTTTCATAACAAAAGGTTTTTTTAAGTAGTATGTATAAATAGCCTTAAACTATCGTTACTGTAGGTACCGACTGAATAGGTTTGGTTATGAAGCGGATATATCTTTATGAAATTCGTCTTAGATATATTTTTATATGTATGTATGTATTGTATAAAAATTATTATAATTGCAGTGATTATTTCAGCTAGAACAATTTAAATCGTTGGATCTAAAAGTTTTTGGTACGAACAGTCACATCTCTCCTTTGTGAAGTAATCTGGGTTTTAAGCCCTTAAAATACTGGCGATTTCAGCTTGTGTTTTAAACTTTTTCTATTTAAATAATTTAGATTTTTCAACAGAACACAATCTGAAATTTGTAGTATATTTAAGGTATAAGGCACAACGCACTAGTCAGCCGTTTATATTTGACATTTTGAAGACACAACCAATGGTCAATAATTCAGCCACCTAGTGCGCTTTCTGCTTAACAATATAAACAAGGATTTTATTAAAAACAATGTACACAATCAAGGAATTTTACAATAACTTATAAACAAATAGTATAATCACAATTAACAGAATGAAAATTATTTTCTCCATACATATATTGTATGTATTTTGCTTAGGCGTATTATAGTCAGTAGAAATAATCTCTAGTTTTATTTTTTGCTCAACATACTTCAGACAATCTTTCTTTGTGAACCAAATGACATTTATATTTCCTGTCTGTTGATACAACAAAGGTAATTTTCCAAAAAAAATGGCTAGCACTTGTCAAAAAATTTAAGTCAAAGTCTCAATATCACTCTACCCAATCAAAAATTCAGAAAACAGTCGACCCATCTCATTTGAAGTTCTCATGTTTATCGTTACTTGTTAATGTCGAAGTATGTCGATAAAATAACAAAACAGTCATAGATTTGTCGATTTTAAAGTCATCTCAATATTTTCTAGTTTATATGCAGAAACTGCATCGAAACCTATCAAACATGAAACCAAAAACTTTCAGAACCAACACGTATTCACGTATTCACTAAGTACAAAAATATTAATTTGAGAATATCTATCAACAGAATGTTATTGAAATAATTTTTCATAGAAATCATTTTGTAAAGCCAATTAAACTGTATTTTGTACCCCTCATCATCAGAGCAACTGGTTTATTGTATAATCTATTTATTTATGTAGATAGGTAATTAATGTTCTTAGCATTTACTGTTAAAAAGATTCATCTCTAAGTACAACTAATAATAAGTATGCTATAACAATGTATCGAATTAAATTAACGACATAACATTTCAAATTATTCTATATTGCTCATATTTGTACAAAGTTTTCATTAAGTATTGGTGTTTTCAATTCTGAAAATATATAATGTATACTTTAATATTACACATGAATATAATATTCATTTTTTATTGAACATCTTAAAGAATTTTACAAAGCACTTAAAGTAATCGAGTACCCATATATCTGAGGAACTAGTAAATAAAACAAATAAACGTTCACACTACATACAGGTGAATCAATATTAGGTATAAACATGACTAAATAAGTAAGTAAGTACAAAATCGAAAATGTCTATAAAGTAATGTCTTTATCTGCACTGAGTAATATATTTACACGTCTATATACAAAGCTATCACATATTACATTTTATTCATATCACTATATACATTATTGCAAATTCAATGTTCCTCGTCATTTTGACGACAGTACACAACTTCGTTCGTATAACTTAGCAAAGAAAATATACCCGCGATATTGTCCTTTGCGCACAACTTATGTTAGACGTACACTATGTGTGGTTTCTCGGGCGTTCTGTGATGAGGAATCGTCTCATAGGCAAACTGCTGGTAGATGTGCTCCTCACTGTCCTCCTGGTAGTAAGGATTCTTATCCACACTATGCCATGGAGGATTCAGCGAATGAAAGTTATTACTCACTGAGGACCCAATCATTAGATATCGGTCAACGTCTCTTTTGGCGTCCTGCTCCCTACTTCTCGTTGAGTAACCTAATCCATTGCCTAATTTTGACACATCACCATTCATCATGACACTCGTCATGACTTGTTTTGACTTATCCCCTTTACACTTCTTCAAGGGTCCCATGAAGTACAAAACACCACCAACCACGCTTATAACGATACTCACAGTAAGCACTACTACCGCTACTATCACCCATCCACTCGAGCACCCAAATTCCGACTCCGGAATCTGTACAAAGAGGACACCCTTTAAATGTGCTGGAGCAGCACACTTCACATCCTCATAGTCTATTTTAAGAATGGAACTTGAGTTCCCAGACTTCCTGCTACTGATTTCACTCTCTCGTCCAAGTTTCCACAACCACAGCAAAGAACAATTGCATGCGAAGGGATTCCCAGCAATTTCAAGTTCTTGCAGTCTGTCTATTGGGAAATGTGACGCTTCAAGAGCCACTAATGCGTTATTTTTCATATAAATGTGGGTCAGCTTCGGGTTGCCATGAAATAATCTGGGCGGGACTTCACCAACTTTGACATTCTCGTTCATCCATATTTTTTGCAAGTTTATATTGTCCACAAAAGCTCTTGAGTCAATTCTCTCCAATTCATAAAGTCTACTCAAGTGTAAATGTTTTAAATGGAAGAGACTTTGGAACGATAGCGCCGTAACATTTTGAAAAAAGTTTCCACTTAGGTACAAATGGGACAAGTTTGATAGTTTAGACAGAGCCGACGTCGGGATTGATGTCATGTTGTTATCACTCAGATCCAGGTGCCGCAGCGACGGTAAGTTGTGGAATCCTAACTGATCCACACTTTCAATTAAATTGTTGTTCATGTCTAAATGTTTCAATTCCTGCAAATATGGTATACCATGCTTTGGTACTTGTTCTATTAAGTTCTCTGATAAGTCTAGAACTTCTAAATGCAATATGAATGCAAGATTATTAGACGGAATGTCTAATATAGAATTGTTTTTGAGTGATATAATCTTCAGTGACATCAAAGGCTTGAAAGTATCCGGCTCAAACTTCACTAGTTTATTGTTAGACAAATCTAACCTCTCTAGTGCAGTTAAGTCTTTAAATGTCTGCACATGAATGTTTGTTATTTCATTGTTTGCTAGGTTTAAGTCGACAAGACTTTTCAGTCCAATAAATGTGTCCTTATCTAAGCGTTTTAGAAAATTATGGCTCAAATTAAGATGAGTCATTTCCATGTTGTTTTCGAAGTTTCTACTACCTAAGTCTACAATTCTGTTGTAGGAAATGTCGAGGACAGTAAGCTGCGTGTAGAAGCCAAAAGTGTAGAGAAGGTTGTCGATAGCATTGTGTGTTAGGTTGATGTGTGTGGCTTCTGGGTTCAGTTGTATGGGTACAATCTCCAGGCTGGCGTTGGCGCAGGAGGCGGCGCGCAGCGCGTCGTCGCAGGCGCAGCGCGCAGGGCATAGCGTGCGAGCTGTGGCGCCCCACGCCCATGCCACCACTACCACCCACCAGCGCCACTTCGCTACGCAGGAGCCCATAACATCTCATGTATACGCCACAGGAGATCTGTAACAAGAAAATAATATGTTGTAAAATCTACTATCATTGGTATAATAAGACGTCAAGTGCTGATAATAATAGGTGTATTATCAAATTACTACTATTTGTAATATGACAGCTACATTTTATACTAGGTAACATTGTTATTGTGGTTACATATAACAGTATTCTGCAAACAATTTATGTCTCTAAAACGTACCTAATTAATTATATCCACAAAATAAGAAAAAATCTCGTTGCCATAGATGGTATCAAGTTTATTTTTCGTGTAATTTATTGTTATCATAAAATTTACTCCCTTAGGATGCATTGCCCTCGACCGAGGAGTAAAAATATACATTATCATAATACAAAATCTTAATATAATTTCTCCCGAAAACTGCAGATAACAAATGTGCTTCTCCGCAATTTGTATGGGGGAGTGGAATTGTTTGATCCAAATTAGGCCGATAAGAGACGTGCCGCGCCGGCAGAATTGTAGGCTCGCCACAAAAACTTTTTTATTATCCTACCACGGCTTCGTAGCCATCCGTCCGTCGCAGATAGAATGCTGTTTAGTACAAACGCTGTTTACGTAGTTGATTTGTTATTCAATATAGCATTATGAGAACGACTTGTCATTTGTCGGCGGGTGGCGAGCAGCGCCGCGCGGCGGCACGTGCCGCAGGGTTAATGCGTTTCACGGCGCGCGCCCACTAGCGCACATCCGGCGAGCTCGCAACCCATATTGCGCACCTTTATTTATCGTCCCGCATTTTCCCGCAAGACGAATGTTCTCAGTAAACGGGAAACTAGCGGGCAGCACTCTGCCGCTAATCCTCCGCCGCTCCAGCGCTTCCTCAACAATACCGCCCAAAATGCTCGGCGATTTAACAAAGGAGCTTTCGGTAGGTAGGTACTTTAAATTAAATGTTCGGCTTTACAATTCGACGGAATGTATAATGAATAGCACCGTAACATCTGTTAACGAAGGCGAACGATCTAGAAAGTTTTCACGCGCGGGAATAACTAATTGCGAAGGTTGGAATTCAATTTATGGTTTCTAGTGCGCCTCTCGGGAGATCACGCCATCCTGAAGTATTAATAATGCAAAACAGTGTCACGGAAAATTTTGGATTCCAAATGCAAATTGAATTAGGAAACAAAGTTGTGAGTGTTTAACTTTCGGCTTGTCATCATCGGCTGTATCGCGATTAACATCCATTTTGTGTAATTAACATGAAAATCACACCAACTTTTTGTAATCTTCTGAATAATTTAACTCCCAAAGCAAACTCGTAGCCTGCCACAACATGCAATCCATTTGCAGTTTGAATGCACTGGATGCTATCATTGTGGACGACACTTTGCAAACCAAACATATTCAGATCCACACAAAGGGGAGGATAAACAGCTAGCATCTCAGAGGAATCCGGCGTCTCGAACCACATTGTTCCATCCGATAGGTAGTACAAGCGAGTCCATATAAAGATGCGAGAAAACGGCACCTACCTTCCCCCCGAAACTCGATATCGCTCGACGCGAATAGATTACACCGGCCCGCCTGAATTACAGAAACCATACGTAGTCCTTGATACATTGAGGATCCCGTATTAGGAAGGATTAATTCTGTTACATTCCAAATGTATTCGGCATCGCGTCAACGTGAAAGATTGCATGTTTAATCATTTTGAGACTCGCGTCATAAGGATGATTACTTTTCGTTACAATGAGGCTCTGGAGTCTGAAGTTATATATTTTGGAGTTTTACATAAGATAGATAGAGGAGTTTTATTGAGATTATTTTGATTTTTTAGTAAAATTAAGAAAGATAAACTCAAACTCAAACTCAAAAGCATTTATTTCAATTAAACCATAATTTGGTACTTTTGAAACGTCAACAAATATGAGATATATAATAGTCTGTCAGTCTGTCCGTCAGTGAAGCTAGGCGCTCGTTCCAAAATGTCGATTCGAGTGGAGAAGAACGAGCAAGAAACTCCATTCGTTACTCTTTTAAAAAAGTCTGTTTTACATTGCTCTGATACATATTCCAATATTGTACACACATGTGAGAATAATGTAAAGACATACCTGAAGCAACATACAAATAACAGAACATACTAAAATAGAAAAAAAAAACAAAACCAAGAGAAAACAAATATCTTAAGTCTGACATGGTCCTCACATATGTATACTGACAATCCATATAAAATAGTCCTTCTATACAAAAAAAAATAAAAAATATACTCTTGTTTAAATAAAGAAAGAAATGCTCGATGCCACAAGAAAAATAGATTGCCTTCATCGGAATCAAAGTGTTAAATTACCTATTATCGTAATCTGAACTAGGTACTGACTACATTTGAGTATTGTCCAGTGGAGCCGAACCAACACGCTGCCAAGCATTCCTATCCTCAAGATAATCAATCACCCTGTAGTACGCTTGTTTACATAATTCGCGCTTAATATATGTTTTAAATTTACTTTCATTTAGATCTAGTATGCTATTTGGTATTTTATTATAGCATTTAATACCTAACCCCATAAAGGATTTCTGTACCTTGGACAGTCTGAATTGCAGTACAGCTAACTTATTCTTGCCTCTAGTATTAAGATTGTGTCTATCGCTTCTTTTTTCGAACAATTGCCTATTCTTTCTTTCTTTCTTACACATTCGATACTACAGCTACATAAGTAGCTAGTGAAATTAAATATTTAGCGTATACGTCAGACAACATTTTTAATAGTAATATGATGGTGGTTGCGGTTTGGCGCCGATGAAAAAATGCAAAGGGTAACGGCACGCCCTCCATTTCCGAATCTAAACTGCCCTAGCCGCCACTCTTTTGTCTTTTAATTTCCTGACGGCCAGAGTGCGCTACCATCGTGAATTTAACTTTCGTGAGCTTCGTTAACTTATATCGGTCTTTGTTGTTGCCTATTGAACTTTTCCATTACTGACGTCATCGATTGAAACCGCTAAATTCGTTGGAAAATTCTCGTCGCAGAAATCAGCGCCCCCCTCCAAAATCCAAAAACAATATGAACAACGACTCGATCCCCGTTTTCCTTTTATAAATCGAGTATGTTTTCAAGTTTTTGTTTTGTTTTCGTTCCGTCGAAGCTCTTGAAATGGAAATTAAATATTTCCTTATTGAAAAGTTTGAGTGTTATAAACATTTAGATGCGGATTTTAATAATTGTAAGAAAGTTTCCTTCGTTTCGACTGACTGCAAATACGGATTTTAAGTAAAGTTCGTTTTCTTTTTAAACAGTGACTTGTATTGCTTTGAAGAAGTTGTTCGAATAGGCATTTTCCTGAGAAGCACTGAGCCGTGGTTTGTTAATGTCCGTCACGTATCAGCGCTTATTATCGCTAGCTTTACTGTTCGTGTGTCGCCACGTTTTAATGAACTCATTATTTTAAGTTAATATGCATTGTACTTCGTCGTTTCCTGTCCCAATTCCATAACGCGTGTTTAGTATTAGTTTCACATTTAGAGAATATTAACCCGGCAACCGCTTTTGTAAAGCGGTTTTGGGTGCTCGACCCGCCAAAACTGGCGACCTTCCTAATTACACCATAACATCTAAACACCGTTTAGGCCGCGACGCTAAGGGATGCCCGTAATATATTATACAGTTTCGCTTACGAAATTCAATATCAAGGGTTTCAAATCTCCCCTGAGCATTAATAGGACTAAACGTCATCGGCACCATTTAAATTATTATCAAAACTATCCGTTTACCTCGGGCTGTCGTCCTTTAGGCCTAATTGCGTAGACGAGCCAATCGGACTCGTCGAACCAAACAGTCCCCACTAAAGTTATCACGGTGTTAATACAACTTGAGACGTTACTAACACAAAGGACGCTTTACGAGGGGCTGGGACAATAAAACCAGTGTAAAAGTCGGCTAACCGCTCCTCTCGCCCTCCCCAGGAAAATATCTTAGCCCTCTCCTCATTTATGAGTTGCTTAAGTCGTGCTCTGCCGTTTTTAAAATAGTCTCTGAGAGTTAAGCCGAAAACTTTGGAGCCGAACATATTGAAATAGAAACTGAATAGTTTTTGGGAGTTTCTTTTTGGTAAAAATGAAATATGTTTTGTTCATTCGGGAGGAGTGCGTACGTGTCTTGTTTGACGGTAGTAAGTAATGGTGTGAGTGGCGGGTGGTGCTAGCGGCCATAATGAGAAAACTTGGCCGGCTGAGGAGAATGCAGCGTGGTAGTTACTTGCAGCGGGCGAATCTAAGCAGAGCGGCGCGCAGCGAGCGTACATTTACTTCTCACAATGAGTTCTATTAGAATGAATGCCTACGCCTACAATCCCACATACATTGCTCACACGACTGTGTAGACAGTTTGAATAACAAAAAAAAATCCAAAAATACTATTGTAGTATTTAACCAGTGCTTTTTAAACTCAAAGCTTAAGTAGAAAACCTAACATAATTAAGAGGCAAACAAAGCCCCATGAATGTTAATTAAATGAACTTGTAAGTAAACAAAAAAGTTTCCAAATATATTCTCATTAATGGCTATTTAAATAAAAATCTCGCAATTGCACGTAAAAGTGTTGGATTGTTGAAAGAAACTTTTAATTTGATCTCGGGATTTCAAACGTCCTTGACTGGGAAGTGTCTAAGTTAGCACGCTTTGGTGCACTCCTGTCTAGGGTACTCGTATTAACAATCTTCTTACTACCTGTAAGCACCTGGGACATACAGAAATACCTTTAAAAAAAGGCTCTAACTAAACAAAACTATTCGTCAAAATTGATTAGGATGAATGCGAAACACTAAGGTTCTAATTATAGGAAAGATAATAATACTACCGACTGCTACTTTAAACACATACCTTCAAAGACTTTAAATGTCATAGTAAATGGTACATTAACAAAAAAGAACCTGACCACAAAACGTTATCCCTGAACTTATCCAGCACATGCAATAATAAACACCATTAACACCGCTCTTTATCAACTTTATGGTGCTTTCACACCATTGTTGGTTGCACATGCTTATC